GTTTGAAAGACTTAACATATAGTTAAAGTAAATTAAAATATTTATAAAATATTTACTAGTTTTTGTAATTTGGGAGATTTTAGATAAAGTATTCAATGAGACTAAAGATTTCAGAATTTTCCAAAGTGTGCCAGTTTGTCATCAAGAAAACCATTTTTGCTCCGGGCTACAGTCTACTGCTTTATTAGAAATCTATTTTGCAAATGCATGCTACTTATCACAAAATTACCCAGAACAAGCACAGTCACAAAATTATAAAATTAAAGAGATAGGAAAAAATCACAAAAGTTCCAAAGTGAAAAAAAACTGGTGCATGTATCTCTCCTCAACCTCCCCACAGCCAGCCATTCAGCCTCCATATTTAGATCCTTTCCTGATGAACTGCAAGGCCATGAGAACACAGATTTACCATCTTCTTCACCATTATAGCCCCCTGAATAATATGCTTTTGTCAATAAATCTGTTAGAGTGAGTTACTGGGTATTCTTGTGAGAGAATTGCACCAGTCATATATACGGCCCATCATTTTAGAAGAGCCGGAATCAGAAATCTGTTTAAACAGCAATAAAAACTACCTCTGGTGTATCCTGATAAAGCCAGCCACTTCTTCTAAGGTGAGCTCTGAAAATATTTACAGAAAGCCTCTCCAAGCCAAATTTCATTTTCATTGCACAACTTGCCATGTATATGGCAAAGGTTTATATCTAAACCTTTCTGCAATCCCCTAAATAAGCCACATTTGGTCAGTTCTTTTAAAATTTGTGGCACTCAGAATAAAATCTATTTCCCATGTTACCTGACCAGGCCAGAGGACAGAGTTCCCTTACTAAATCTATGAAAATTCCTTAACCCTTGAGAAAATTACATCAAAAGACAAGGTGATGCTGATGAGAAATCATTCAGAGAACACTACTGGGGAAAACCATGAACTTCTCTCAGAAGGCTTAATTCATCTATTAGAGACCCTCATGTGAGGAAATGAGATGCTATGGGAGAATGATTCATTATATTCACCTATGCAATTGAAGCCATAGTAAAATAATTTTGAGTTTCCGTTTCTGAATGGAAACTCAGTATTTATTAAACCTGAGAAGTTCTAGGCCTTCCAATTTGCAAAGTGAACTGTACTGCCTGTGGTTGATGGATATATGAATAGAGATGTAGTAATTCAGTAACATGAAATGGAAAATGCAATTTAATTACTTGGAGATTTTTTTTCACAAAGTTTGCTTTTACTTTTATGACAATGTGGAATCGTGAACCTATTCACTTTATTGTTAGGTAATGAGGCCTATAAAGCAAGTCATAAAAATGCTCTGTTTGCAATGCTCTTTTTAGAAACTCCAATCTCATGGAAAAATCTTCTCACTATTAAAAGAAGTTGTAGTTCTTTCAGAATCCTAGACATAAAGGGCATGACATTGGGTTACAACAACCCATCCCATACTTTTTTACTGTAAATTTATCCTTTAGCATAATAGTAGCCAGCTGTGTATCTCAGTAGCTGTGCCTGGGGATACAGGAAGCAGTCTTTTGTGTTTGCCCACTTGGTGGAAGAAGGGCAAGGTGTGCGCACCTGTGCAAAAGTGTCACACCAGGACCTTTACCCACATAATGCTCTAGCAGCTTTTGCATATGTTTACCTGAGCATTAAGGGGGGTAAAATACACCCACATCATCCTTCTGTTAAGTAAACATGTACTTTACCATAATGGAATGTGAGTGTGGCTTACTGGTGAGCTGAACAGGTAGGAGCAATGTCACAAAGACCTACTGTGACAACAGGAAAACCAAAACGATGTCAACTGTGCTCTACAAAAAAGAACAGAAAAACAAAGCTTCTTGACAAAGCAACAAGTCCATTCATTTTTTTATGAATTATATTTCTATTTAAATTATCTAAGGAATGAAAGTTCCACCCTAGAAAACTAAAAAGTAAAATTTTAAGAATTACCAGTGAATACAAATTAAAGAAGGAATAACCCATTCTTTGCTTACCATATTAGTACAAAAGTTTAAAAAACAATAACATTCAGAGTCTATGAGGATAAGGCAACCCCACACTTTGCTCTTTTCAGTATGAGTTGCTGCAAATTGGAGAAAATGATCTAGAGATATGTATTAAAATGTAAATATGCATACTTTTGAATGAACATACCACTTTGAGAACTCTCTCCTGTTTTATTAAAAATACATGTATCTGAGATGTGTGGAAATGTTTGCTACAACACTGTCATAGTAAAACACTAGGAAGAAACTGCCTACAATAATGGATAATCACTAAAAAAAATCAACTGTTTTAAAAAGTATGGATTAGATGTTAATGTTAGTAGTGAATAGATGTCCTTTAATGATAAAAAATCAGAAGATAATATCTAGAACATAGCCCCGTTTCTTTAAAACGAAATAACAATAACAAAAAAATTATTCATGCATGTTTATTTGTATGTTTTTATAAACTTGGCAATTTTAATACCCATTACCTCAAGGTAGTGGCAGCATTAAAAGTGATTTAAAGGGAAATTAAGTCTCCATAATCTGTATTAGTCTCCTCAGAAATCACTCCACACAAACAGAAAAGAAGCAGGAAGAACGTTTTCTATTTATTTCTCATTCCCACACCCCATCAATTCACAATGCCTAAACAGTCTTACACGGAAATTCTGAAGTTGTCATAATTTCAGAAAAGGGAAATGAAAGTATTTTTCATATAATAAAAGGTCTAGAAAGTGCCTTTTGATTCAAGTTTTTCAAAATTTAAAAGTTCTCTTCACTACTTTGTATTTAAAATAAAATTCTAGAACACTTTAGGTATTTAGTGATGTAGATTTGGAGGGTTTTATTCAGAGAAGAAACTAGTATAATTATAAAAATAATAAAAATATTCTCTTTCCATCAGTTTGTTCAGTTTATATTTCTTTATTATTTTCTGGCACTTTTGTCTCAAAACTCTTCCCAAGGCCTAACAGGACATTGTCAGCTCTGTCAGGACTAAAAAGGGGCACAGTATATCTTCAACTCATTCCCTAGTCACCGCTTTCTTTTTACCCCTTCATAGCTTATCTTCTAGCATTGGCCTCCATCTCCTCATTCCATTCTTTTTTTCGTATAAAGATTCTGGCCATAAATATAATGACAAATAGGAGATTTTTTAGAATTAGTTTCCCAGGGGTTATGGCAAACTTGCACAAGCTGTTGGTCTTTCATTCCCATGACCATTTTTCCTCATACTCAAAATTATCTACCATGAAATAATGATTTCTGTGAGAGTATAGGTAATTTAGGCTTCAAATCTCACACAGTAGTAAACTTACACACAACAGTAGCTGGTGCATACTTCCATTCTATCAATATGTACCATCATGTGTGCTTATGTGACAACATTCCTGTAAGTCTAAGCTTCCAGAAGACAGGGACTGTGTCTTTTATTTCATTATGTCCAGTATCTAAGTGTTTGATACAGTAAGTGTTAGTAATTTTTCATTGAATGAATGAAAGTGCAAATAACTGGATCTCTTTTAAGTCAAAGAATATAAAGTTATCAACCTTGCAAATTCTAGTTTATCTCGTGATACCAACTCAAAAACTATAATGATAATCAGGTAAGGTAACTGAAGTGAAAATAATTCATTAACTGTCAAGTATTATGGCGGTGAAGACTCCATTGTGGGGGTTGCTGAAATAGGCCAGCTCTTTTAAAAATATGAGTCTGAAAAAACATTATTCATTAAGTCTTACAAGTCCACCATGGGGATAGATCCAGAGCCTCAGAAATATAAATTTGAGAGTTCTCACGTTCAATTACACAATGCTAAAATATAGAGCTTGGTGAATTCACTTTAAGTTTATAAACTTTCACAAGTTTAGTTTTGAATTGACTGGGCTTGAGTTTTCTCTTGTTCCTTTGTGTTGCTTTTGTATCATTGTATTCAGACATTTGGAATACATTTCCAGCAGACCTCAAAAATATTGAAAACCAAATACTTCAGAGGAATTTATATAAATAATCAGTAGCTTAAATATTACATAAAAATACATATATAGCATGTATTAGGTTGTTTTTTCTAACTTCAGTAACTACCAATTTCTGAAAAACTTTCTACCAGGGATAGAAATAAGGAGAGCTGTGTGTGCTAAGACCACTGATGAGGCCATGGATGGGTCTCTAAATTTACATAGTTTCCAGATTCTTCCTTTCCTTTGCTGTAGTTCATTTTTTCTAAATTTCAAGGAAGTAAATTTCTAAGATCACTTCCTTATCTAAAATCGTAATATTTAATATAATTCTATTGCTTTCCAATTATAATTCTACTTCAGAATGGGGGGGGAAACAGCCTGAATTCTGCTTTCTTGTTTGGACAAGGTAGTTCATATGAGCTGTTCTTAAGAAACATTCGTATGATGGTCTTCACACGCACAAAATTCTGATTATCGAAATCAGTCAATTCACTTGATACATTAATCAAACTGAGACTTCCTGAGCTTTCACTTGATCTTGTTCAAACAACTGCTAAAAAGTCTTGAGGAAATCGCTTGCTGTTTACATGGCTTTCCCCTTCATCAGCTTTACTTTTCCGTCTGAAAATCAAACCCTTTTAGGTTTGTTCTGCTATAATATTCTGGAATAAGATTCACCCTGAAATAGGAGTTTTTGGGGGGGGGGGTTTGTACCGGAGATCGAACTCGGGTCTTTATGCATGCAGGGCAGGCGGCTGGCGGAACCACTGAGCTAAATCCCCTACTGCGAACTAGGAGAATGTGAGGAGAAATGAGCTTCTGTTTTCAGCATCCCGTTTCTGAGCAAGGGATCTCCCACCACCTGCTGCTTCCTAGACTCCAAAACTCCTGCCCCAGCCAGCTTTCCTGGGAAGATAGCAGAAAACTAGGAGGGAGGGGAAGAAGGTTGGGGAGAACAAGAGGCGGGGAGTGAGGCACGGAAGGCAGGAGGAGGCGTGGCCGGCTTGGGGCCTTGCAGGATAAATACGGAGAACTGGGTGCGGGGAGCAGAGAACTCGGAGGATCGCCGGAGCAGAGCAGCACCGAGGACAGCTCCCGTCTTCGTCCGCCTCGGCCCAGGCGCTCCGCACCGACACACACTCGCACCCTCGCACCCGCAGACACACGCCTCGCTGTACAATGGCAGAATCCCACCTTCAGTCATCCCTGATCACAGCCAAACAGTTTTTCGAGATCTGGCTTCATTTCGACTCTGACGGTGACTATCTTGTTTTTAACTGTTTCAAAACCCCATTCCCCTTTCCTCTTTTTGACCTCCCTGAGCCACCTGACCCCACTGGGATCTTTTTCTGTTCTTTACCTCTTCCCCTGCTCTGCCTAACCGCATCCCCCGACTGGCTGCCCAGCCTTCAACCTGAAAGTTTACATTGCTTGCATGTAATCCCCCGTACACTTGCGTCTTTCTAGGAACGATAATGATAGGACGGAGAGAGTAGGGATTGGGGAACCCTGCTCCCCAAAAGTTTTTGTGGCTGTGATCAGCATCCCAACCATTTCCTTTGTCCTCCATGCCGCTAAAGTTTGACACCTTGGCAGGGGATCGCTGCCGTAGCTCTACCTTCACTACTTAATCTATGCGGAGCCCCCGAGAGAGCTTCTCGGGTTGCCAGAAAGGTAACTCTGGTGGAAAGGGAGCGGAGAAGAAACTCGGAATGAGATATCTGACACCTGGGTGCCTTTGTCTTTGCAGGAAGTGGTTACCTGGAAGGAAAGGAGCTGCAGAACTTGATCCAGGAGCTGCTGCAGGCGCGAAAGAAGGCTGGATTGGTAGGTTCAAGTCTCTGAAGAGTGAAAAAAAAGAACTTCAGCCTTAAAACATAAACATGCATATGTTTTCATAAAGATCCAGCGGGGCCAAGGGCTTTTGTAGGGAATGCAAACGTTTATTAACTGAGCAAGGTGAAAAAGAACACCTTTCATCTTCCCAAACTGCATAATGAGAAAAAGAGGATGGTGGGAGGAAGGGGGGGGGGTGAGAGAGAGATTGAAAATATGAGGTTTTCTAAAGAGGAAACCTTTACAGTCTTAAATCAGAGTTTTAAACTAGATAGATAGATAGATAGATAGATAGATAGATAGATATAGAATGATAGATAATATGTACTTGCTTTAATAGGTCTTGAAAGTGTGGATAGGCAAAGGCCTTAGCAGATCATCACCTCTACCACTTGGGTTTGGTTAGGTAATCTTTAACTTCTCTTTTACACCCATGAGAAAGAAGGGGGTAGAAATACATTTCTGCCCCTTGGTGGTCAGAAAACAGATCTGCAGATTAGGAACCTCATTCTACTGCCAATTTTTGCTGTGGTGCTGAGGTAGTTAGGGAGATGAAAAAGCATCCTGCCTTGACCCTACTCACTGATGATAGTTGGCCAATTTATAACCTAATAGTGAGCAAGAATTTGGCAAGAAAGGCTTTCATTTCTGTAGGAGGGGAAACCCCAAAAGTTAGAAAAGTAAGACATTTTAAGAATTCTATATATTGTAAAAAAAAAAAAAAAAAAAACCTAACAAATATTCTAATGGGAAACAATTGATGATATTTTGACAATAAGCTGTTTGTGGTTTAAGCTATTAGTAATTAAGCATATGACAATTTTTATTGTTGCTTTAAGAAAAGATGTTGTCAGGCTGCAAATGAAAGGTCAACTTTTAAGCATATGTGATGAATAAGTAGAGGAGAATGTGTTAGGAATTTTACCAAGTCTATTGAGGTTTATGTAAGTCTGTCTTTCAGGAGGAAATATTGAGTTTGAGCTGGCTAGATTTAAAGGTCTTTGGCTTTTTGAACTATAATTAGAAAGAAATTTTTACATTATGAATTAAATTCATATCATCTAGGTATATTATATAGCAGATGACCACTGCTAGTATTGAGTAATATACATACCTATATACATATATATATATATACTTTACTAGTAGAATTACTTTTTGCTCTATCTACATTGAAAATTACATACTACACATCTCTGTACAACATATTCAAAAGAATCCCAGAGGTCTCTAGACTCTAATTGTATTAAAATCCATTACAGAACTTATCAGTTGCTGAAATCATTGGTCAAATTCATTTTAAAACAAATCATGCTCTAGGGATTGTTTTACCCTAGTTTAATTTAATATAAATCTAAAAATATAACAGAATAAAATCAAATAAAATTTCTTATATGCTCTCCATCTTCCTCCCACCCTACACATTACTGTGTAAAAAATTTATGCAATACTATCATTATAGTTCTATGGATCTTTAGCTCATAAAGCAAAAGAAATTCTCTTCCTCATTTAAAAATATATATTTAAATTTTTGGTTGGAAAGTCTTATGGAAGATGCTTTCAGCAACCAGATGATTATATTCTGATTTTTCCAGAAGTAATTTTAATGTTGACATTTACTTTTATCATGGGATTCAAATATTAATGAGTTCTATATATTTTTCAGATTTTTTTCTGCTCTCATTTTAATATTTGTACCTTTATGTAAATAATGTGTTCATATTGGAGTTTTAATGAGTTTATAGTTTAATTATTTCTTCTACTGCAACCTCCAACTTTGAACTATTTGAAGCTCCAATTATTATATGAAATTCAATAATACTCAACTTGAACACAGGTATAAGATTGTATCAAGTTGCTCAATACCTTCATACTTGAGTATTTTCTGGGTTGTACGGATAGGCTTTGAATAGTTAAAAATCTAAATCAAGATCTAGATTAAGAGCTTCATATATTAGACACATGTTTCATAATACTATCCAGACCATTGCAATTAGCCTACTTTTACATATTCTCTGTTTTTTAAAATATGAAGATTAATCTTGTAAACCAGGCTTCTTTTCATTTCTTGCCACAGTATAACATTTCATTGCATTAAAAGAAACACTGGTTTGACATGACATATTACTAATGTCAAATTTCAAAAATTTCACAAAGTGAATGTAACATCAATGAACTATGACACCCCAATATGCTTCTGAAACCACTACCATTTTACACTAAGCGTAATGTTTTATCTTTAAATTTGCATTGATTTGTGTCAATCTTTGATGATGACTATGTCTCAAACTACAATTGCCACCCAGAAATTTCAGACTAAATATCAAGTCTGTTAGTTAAACTAGTCATATTATGCAGTTTTAATATTTAAGACTCAATGCTTTGTTTTTTGTTTACATAAAGATATGTATAAAAAGTAAAGGGACTCATATTCCCAATGTTGCCATGGAGTTCACACTTTTATTTTCTCATAATTGTTCCTGTATTAAAATTTAATAAATGCAAATTGCAATCTGTTCACAGAAGACTTCTTTTAAGACCACAATATAATTAAATTGCTTTATTACTATTTACCACATTATTTCAACTAGAAAGATTTACATTAATTTCAAAAGGATTTTATAAATACTACTCATAGTAATATTTAGCCTCAACATAGCCGTTAAATTATAAAAATCTACCTATCCCTAGAGCAAACACGTGCTAGATAACTACCATCTTTTTAGTTATGATGAAAATGGAGACCTTAATTTACATTCCCAAGGACATAGAATAGGATATTAGTAAGGGCTGTCCTATTTTAAAATGGCATCGGTTAATGCAACAGAGCTATTTTAAATAGGCTCTGTTTAAGACTCAAAGGTAAAAAATTTAACTTCCTGAATACCAGCTCTATGTTCAGATCACTAGTTTATAGTTAATATCTCTCTAATCTGTCAATATGTAAAGAGATTAAAAAGTAATATAACATATTGAGAAAAACAAGCCAAATGAGAAGATAGCATTCACTGTGTCACTCCTAAACATGCTTTATTGTACTAAAATATATGGGAGAGATAATATCATACTGGAAAAAGTTAATACAAGGCAACACTGGGATACTGCTTCCTATGGTACTGTTGGAAGCAAAGGTCATAAGCATAATATCAGTGGTCTAAACTAAAGTCATCAATATTGTGTGTGTGTCTGTCAGTGAAAGCACAAATTGGTCAAGTCACTTTTCATTGCATATTTTTCCCAAGTCTTTCATTTTTAAATTTACTTAATCAATGAATGCCTATTTTGTGCTGGAAATATTCCTTGCTTACAAAGTATGTTACTCTTCAACATTTACTTTCTTTGCTTGTCCAAACCAAAAATACATTTTACTAATTTCCATAGATAAACATTGTGTTGGGATAAGAAAAATGTTACGGGACAAGATAATATAACAATATAATACAACCTTTAATGAAAGTAATGTTTAAAGTATATTAACAGCCATCAGTATATTTAAATTCACTAATGGTAATGAATTAAATAATTTTGACTATTTTCAACTGGTAGCATAATCTGAAAACTAATAATAGACAATAAATCATAATGATTGATTCCAAAAGAATAAGCATAATCATAAATCTTTCTTTTGATACTAATAAATACTCTATTATTTATGACTTTAATTTCATGATAGTAGCTCATCATGTATAATTCTAACGGTTTCAATTTTGGCTCCTCTTTGTAGTAATTTATTAACACCGTCACAAGTATAATTGGGTATTTTTTTTTTACAAACTTCTTACCTGCTTTTATATAATTTTAGGAGTTATCAACTGAGATGAAAACTTTTGTGGATCAGTATGGGCAGAGAGAAGATGGAAAAATAGGAATTGTAGAGGTAAGGAAATTATGCATTTTTCTGATTTAATAAATGAGCTTCATTTTTGAAGTTGTGTCCAAGTCAAACATGATAGGGCACGACTCATACAGAGAATTATCTTCCATTCAGAAATATAAAATTTAAAAATTTAGAAATAAAACTGATGCTAAGAGCTGGCCAAATCCAGAGCCTAAACAATGTATTACAAAACAGACTCTAGAGAAATGAAATAGTCAATCTCTGGCCACATAGCTGTTTGCTCGCATCAGTTCAGTCATATCTGGGTGAGTGTCCATCACATTATACTATTCACTTTCCCTTCAATACAGTGTCAAGTACCCAATTCTTTATTATTATTTTACAGTGTAGACTTTTCTTTTGAAATTTAAAATTAAATATTTGCAGTTCCTATTACAATGTCAGTGCAAAAAATCTTCATTCTAACTCTAAAATCTTATTTTAAATTGACATGCACCCCTAATAAAAACATAAGAACTTGCTTAACTAAAGTGAGTGAATATTTTATGATCTACGATAGGTACCTATTTCCTTCAGGTCTCTACAAATTAAAACCATGGGTGTTAAATCTTATCTTGTGACAATAACTTTTCCTGTTGAGGACAGTTTGTTTTATCTGTGATTTAAGGAAGCAAAACTTTAATTATGTAACCATTCTGAATTCTCAGATTTGTGAAAGAGCTGTTGCTTCCCTTTTTCCTGCTTTTCCAAACTCTGATAGTATCTCAGATTCTGCCCTTATCTCTGCAACCTATTAGAGAAATTTAATGGGAATTTTTCCCCAGAAAAATTAATAACATCATATTTTAAAATATGCTAAATCACAAACATAATTATGTTCTTCATATAATGTTCTCAGTGTACTGAAGTATGAAGTATTCTGACTCTCAACAACTTATACCTTTGATTCAGAGAACTAACCTGGTTTTCAAATAATTGATCTTATTAGGACACTTGGGATATTGGTGTGAAATACCTTATCTTCAAACAGCTACCCCACATAGAGTTACAGGAGGACATGCTATTATTATCTTTATACTTACAATTTCTCTCTGGAGTATACATTTTGCTCTTTGCCTATGTGTAACTCATTGCTATATAAATAGATAATAGTAATGGGACTTACATATTGACATAGAAGCCAGCTAATCAAGATATGAAATCATCAAGAATAATAAAATCAATTTTAAATGAACAAAAATGATGTGAGATAAATCTAATTATTCAAAACTAGTTTGAAAATCTGACACCAGTGAAATTCTAGGTGAACTATTTCAAAATTCGTACTTTCTAATTCTAGTAGAGGAAAGACTGTTATCTTGTTTTTAACATATGTCCCCTTGAAGAACTCCAGTGAGCCCAGCTATTTATTCTGTTTCATTTCTTCAGTGTATAGTAAAAACACAGACCATATTTGCATACATTTTACACTTTTAAAAGGACAAGATGGATGAACATACTCTGAATCCAGCTTTTACTACATATGACACAGTTTAATCTTATATGACTTATTATTTGAGGTTTAATGAGAATGAGAGGCTAGGTGTCACTTCACAGATGATATCTTGGAGGTTCAATGAAAGATGTTTATTTCCTTACAAGTTTAAGGTGCTTGTTACAAGGAAGAGAAGATTTTCTGTGAGAGGAAAAATGAATATAGTTAATAGAAGAGGCTAAAGAAAGTAATGTAGGCTGAAATGAAGAACTGAGAAACTTTTAGAGAAACAAGAATAAGAGTTTACATGTGTGTGACATTATATAATTTATAAAGTGTTTTCAAATAAGTTATACCTTTTGATTCCCATAACAACAAAATAAAGTAAGTCTAAATATGAAATGAGGGTCTACCCTATAGTTAAGGAACCTGAAACTTCAATAGAATTTGCCTAAGATCAAAGAAAGAGTAAGAAACAAATGTGTAACTGTTAGGTCTTGGATATAGTCCCCTAAACTACTGTGTCTATGTTTTGTTTTGTTTTTGGTACCAGGGATCAAACTTGGGTCCTTCTGCTTGCGAGGCAGGCAGCAGAACCACTGAGCTAAATCCCCGGCCCCCTCTATTTTTTTAATAATAGAAAATCTGCATGTTTTCTCCATTAAAAAGTAAGACTTTCAAGCTTCAGCTATTTGGTTACTTATGGCAAAGCTTTAAGGTTAGCTGGGTTAGCTAGAGATGAAAAAAGTGCAGATGGTTCTACATTCACAATGGGGTTACATTTTGATAAACCCATTATAAGTTGACAAACATTGCACGTAGAATATGCATTAGTGCACTTAACCTACCTACCGAACATCACAATTCAGCAACACAGTACTCTGTAGACCTTTGGTGACTGCTTGGCTCTCGGGGAGCTGTGGGTCACTGTCACTGCCCAGTGTCACAAGAGAATACCCTACTATACATTACTAGCCCAGGAAAAGATCAAAATTCAAACCACAATTTCTATTTAATGTGTACTGTTTTTATATCATCATAAAGTTAAAAAAAATCTTAAGTTGAACCACCCTAAACTAGGCACCTTCTATATCAAGAAATTATTTGGGCAAAGAATTTAAAGCATGATTTAGAAAGAACTTTTCAGATCAGTATAAGCAGGAAGAGTTTGAAGAGAGAGAAGTGAGACAAGTGAGAACTGACAACAGGTTTTAATGTTGTGAGATATGGAACTTTTTGCAGAATGGGACCTTTGAGAAGAACTAGCCAAAATTCCTCATTTTAAGGATAAAGAAACTGAGGCCCAGAAAGGTTGAACTGTATGATTTTTTGTTATTTTTCTTTGTTTGGTACCAGGGATCAAACTCTGGTCCTTGTGCTTGCACAGTAGGCAGTGAAACCACTGAGCTAAATCCCTGGCCTTTGAGATCCCACCAGAAGGGAGTGACAGAAGCTGTTTGCAGACCTAGATTTGATTCTGATTCAGGAACTCTCTTTTTTTTTTTTTTTTTTTTTTAATAAACCTGATTATCAGCCAAAATGTAGGAGGAAAGGGCCTGGGGCAGGGGCAGGGGGTGTTCACTGAAGAGAATTAGAGAATGAGAGAACATGGAGAAGATTGCTGTAGTGTTTCATATGCAAACGATTCGGTCTAGTGTGGTTAAGCAGGAGTTAAGAAAAAAGGGGACCTGGGCCAGGGATTTATCTCAGTGGTTCTGGTGCCTGCCTTGCAAATGCAAGGTCCCAAGTTTGATCCCTGGTACAAAAAAAACAAAAAACAAAAAAAAACCACGAAGTAAAAAGGAGACCTGAAAAAATCACTGGAAAAAAAAAAAGTTACAATAACATGTAGAAAATGAAGAAGAGGAAAGTACAGAATGCCTGAACTATAATGTACCCTTTGGTGTCACCAGAAAGTTGTATTAAATAAAGTTCATCCTTTCTTTATCCAACTTGACATTGATATTACTTAGAAATCCTACAAATAAGGGACACAAATCATAGCCAGCAATAAAGAAAAACAAAACCCTAAGCTTTCTAAAAATTATAATAATCTCCCCCCGCCCATTAAGTACAATACAATGCTGGCGTTCAAAGGGAAAATAAGTTGAATTTGCTTATATGTTGTGCCCACTAGATAGTTATACTCATGGACTTGAAATCTAATTAAAGCAAACTTAATGTCCATGCAGTAGTCTGCTTCCCTTTGTAACTGGTTACATCGATTTAAAAGACCTGAAAATGCCTTGATTGATTTTTAAAGTTCTGATGTGATGAAGTTGACTGACATTTTCCAACAACATGCATTTGCTACCTAGAAGCATACAAAAAGGAGAGTAATGTGCAGATATGATTTCTTCTGAACTTAGTGATTTTATGCCTTTAAATAGACTTAAAAATTCGTGCAAATACAGTTCGGTAATAACAAGATTATTAATGTGAACTCAAAACAGGAGCATTGAAACTCTGAGATAATTTAACAAATAACGTGGCAGTCAAAAATGTTCTACATTTATGTAGACTAATAGCTCTATTCAAAGAAGTCCAGTTAAAATAATTAAATAGGAAGACTGCATGATTTATCGGGGAATGGAATTTTCTTCTCTAGGACTCATATGAAGTACAGATTATTTCCTTTAGCCGGATGTCAAATTTATAAGATTTTCTGGATCCCTTGGACAATGTGTAGGAAACTGTCATCCTCTCTGCTCTTAATGTTTCTATCTGTCCAGGTCAGTGCATCCACTGAAAAAATAGATCCAAAAGCTATTTTAATCCTAAAACTGTAACAGCCCTCCCAGGGAAGCAGCCATTGCTCTAGCCATTTCCTTTTTTATTCCACAATGGAACTTGAGCATGTGAGGTTAGCCAGGCTGGGTGTAACTTTTCATTACAAATTATTTGTCTGCCTTAGAATTTGAGAAAATGAGTGACAATAAAACCTCATTTTAAAATCTGCTCTACATAGATTTTCTAAGATTTATTAGAGAAACTTTTGATTGAGGATTTTAAAGGAGAGTGATGAAGGTAAGGGTCAAGGATCTCAAAAGTGAAGAAAGTCAGACTGATTTTTAATCTAGCTACAAGGTAAATGAAAGCAGGCTGTTTATGTTCTCTGAGCCTCTATTTCCTCAGCTGTAAACAGGGATGACTATTACCAACTTCATATGGTTTTTATGAGTGTTGACATCAAATGAGCTAATACTTGGCAAACAAATATCCTGACATACTATAAAAACTCAAATAAATGTATTTGTTATTATTATTAAACATAAAAATAACTTACTGGAAAATTTACTTCATTCTGTGTTCCAAGCCTTTTCTACCCACTTCTTACATGGTTAGTCAAATTCAAATTATTAAATTCAAATAGCTTTAAATTTATGAGGCGATTATTTGCCTTCTACATTTCCTGGACTCAATTCTCATTGGCTAGGAAAAATGTTCCTCTAGTTCCCAAATCAAAGAGTGAATGATTGGCTAATAGGTGCTGGAAGAGGCAAACATACACCACCATTGTGGTTAAAAATTAGGAATTGGGGCCGGAGATTTAGCTCAGTGGTTCTCGCACCTGCCTTGCAAGCGCAAGGTCCTGAGTTCGATCCCCTGCACCAAAAAAAAAGTTAGGAACTGCACTTCAAGTGTACTTTAAAGCATTTCTCTCTGTCATTTATATCTCTAATGAAGTTACTTTTGTGTACACTCTTCTCACACCTAGTTTTTAGCTTTATCACTGTATCTATCTCCTGCTTTTTACCAGTTAAAAGAATGGTTTAAATCATCTGTCTTCCTGTCAGTTTCTTATTGGTAGTGGCTGTAAATCTGCGGCCACCAGCATGCTGGCCTGGTAATCAGCAACCATATGAGGCACAGTAAAGAACTTCATTCAACTTCAAAATAAGACAAGAGCTATTTTATATGCTATTTTAAGAGAGATGGAGGGAGAAACCCTGTTGAGGTGGAGTTCCATGGAAAGCAGATCTGAGTGGCAGCATAGCACTTAGGAGGATTATTAGAGTCACTTCCTGTGGAAGGGGAGTGAAGAGAATAGGATTTGGAAAAAGAAGATGCTAGGCTGGCCTTTCAGAGATTTTTCAGATTTTTCATGGGCCTCTATATTCCCATGTGGATTAGTCACAGGCTGTAGCTCCACTGGAAACACAGCTATCTTCAACCCATACAATCCCTCAACTGAGGCCTCTGGCAAACTGAGGCCTCAGCAACACTCTCAGAATCTGAAGAGAACTCTGAGTACCATATTACAGTGTCCACTCCAACTATTAACCACAGCCCAGTAAGAAGTTATCTGAATTATATCCAATGGAGCTTTACTGTCATTTATTTACAGTCTATGGTGACTCTAGACAAATAGTCAATTTTTTCATTCATTTCAGTACAACAAAATATGTACTGAAATGTGTGCAGTTACTGGGCAAATAAGTAAGTAAAACACAGGCTTTATCCTCAAGGAGATAGGCAAGTAGAAAGAAAATTTGCTTCTTCATTCTCAACCAATTCTCATTAAGTGAAGATCTAAGGGATTCTATTTGCAGGCACAGCTATCTGCTTTCCACTCACCTCCTTGATATTCTGTACTCTCTTGAAACCTATACAATTTTGGCAGTTCATAAAAGGGAATTCACAAGAAATTATCAAAAATCTTGGAACCACAGTATTTGGTATTTCTCTGGATGGTAGTGACTGAGATAAAGTAGCTCCACTTAACATCGTCTATAAGGGACCATTGGCATGTTGGAGACATGGTCATAGTTCTACAGCCGGAGAATGACCATACCGAGATTGCAAAGTGATTGATATGCATCGACAGTAGGACCAAAAGACAACCCAGGACCACCACACTGTGAAATACATCTTAAAACAGGATTTCTTCATATTCACTATAGCTATACCCTATTCATCCATGTTCATTGCTTTCCTTTAATGACTAGTTTTCTTATAATAATATTTTATAAGTTTAAGACCCATTTCTAATGTTTGTAAAATAGGATAGTGTATGTGTTGAATATAATAAGAACAGTTCGATGAAACTAAATAGAACAAATATATTGCTTATAGATGCAATCAATATTTTTAATAATTAAAAGTAATACCAAAACAGCATAGGCAAAGAAATATGCATTTACACTAGACATGAAGAACAATTTGACCCACTTTATATTTGACATTCTAGGACCTCTGAACTGCACGAGAGTTACACAAACTTCGATTTATGAATTAATGACAGTTAAATTTCCCTAATTTTACATTTAGTCATTGCTGACTACTTTATTATTTTTTGTGTTTTTATATATTTGGTGTATTTGGACAAGTATAATTTTTAAAGAAAAAATATTCTTTTTGTTCAGGGCAACATATATATTAATTATATAAATTCAAGCAATATAGAAAATTACAGCGATGATAATAAAAATACTCATTATCATGTTAAGTCATGCTAAGAAGGATTTTTAATGAAGAAAAATTATTCACCAATCCACAAGCATGTATTTTCACGGGTGGTTGATCTGAGGAGGCAGATTGGAATAGATGGCCTGGGACAGTGGTGACGAAGCTATGGCACTTGGGCTGCAGTGGGCATACAGAGCCCTCTCTGTCTGCACAGAAGCCAAGGTGCCTCAGCAGCCAAGCATCAGATATTCAAGTGTTGGCACTTTGTGATAAATAAATGGGTTTGGGGTTACAGTTTGGGCACTCAGTCTCTAAAAGATTCACCATCACTGGCCTGGAATAAGTCCACTAAACTTAAAAAGTTACATACCAATAAATAAAGAAACTGAGCTTCTTGGAGGCTGAGTCAGGAGGATTAGCAGTTTAAGGCCAGCCTTGGCACTTTAATGAGGCCCTACCTCAAAATAAAAAGTAAGCTCAGGGATTTAGCTCAGTGGCACCACACCTGCCTGGCAAGTGCAAGGTCCTGAACTCTATTCCTGCTACAAAAAAAATAAAATAAATGAATAAAAAGCTCTGGGGATGTAGCTCAGTGGGAGAGTGCTTGCCTAGCAGCTAGAAGGCCCTGGGTTTAATCCCTTGTACCACTAAGGAAGGAAGGAAGAGTTGGTATTGGTTACTTCCTGTCTTCCAATGAACACTTATGTTCATCACAACCATGAAATAACATGGCCAGACATCCAGCATCACACAGAACCCTTGAAAACGTACACTTACCATCTAGCTTGTTGGTCAGTTTGTTCCTCAAAATGTCTGCCTCTGACATATTTCTTCCCCCTTTGAGACATAAGTTTCTTATTTTCTTCCCTTTTGGGTCTCTCCCCTTTAACTGTATTATTCTTTCTTCCCTCTGTACCTCTTGGAAGTCTTAAAAGAAGTTTGTTTAAAACACCCTCAGGAAAGTATTATTACAGGCTAGTGAGGGCTGTATAAGACTTCAGGGGCATAATGGAGTCTCCTTCCTCTGCAGGCCTCTCTGTGCCCACCCCACCCCTGCCACTCCCACTCCACCTACCCTTCCCCTTGGCTTTGGTGAAGACATACAGACTCTTGGGCTTGACTTATATCTGCCTACCTTAATAATAAAAATCATTTGTGTCTACTTTCCACTAGCAGCCCACTTACAAGGAAAAAGGGGGACTTTATAAGGAAGATGGTATTTTCAGTGAGTGGAAACCTAGGCCATGTCCAGACTATCTTGTCATAAATAAAAGTCACCAACAAATGCATTTTTTGAATTCCAAGACTGAAGAAGCAACCAGTCGATTCTATTGCTTCAAGAAGATTGTTGCTTACTTAATTTACTAATAATTATCAAATTAAAGTGATTTTCAAAATCAGCCAATCACCAGATTAAATTATTCAATCTTTGAGCATCCTTGACTGACAAATTTGAATTTTGAATTAAATTGTTTCTGAGGTATAGAAGTTTTGATTCAAGAATTCAAATAAATCAAAAATCACAAAAGAGGCCAAAATTTAATAAGAGATCTAGATCTCACACACACACACTGTATTGATATAAGTGGGTTTATGAATGAAAAGTTGGTTATATTTTTTAAATTACTGATAATAATCTATTTCCACCTTTTGGATATATTATCATCTACCCATACTATTGACCTTTACTTCAAATGAGATGTTTTCTGACTGGATCATACTAAACATCCTAATAAAATGTTTGACCCTTTCCCTTAGTCTCATCCCCATGTGTAAATCCTATAATCTCAACAGCTTTGAAGTGATATTTTAAAGTCTCAAAACAAGATAAAGAACATATTACATAGATATAAGGAAAATGAGATTGCTTGCACAGAAGGTAAAATGATACGTTTAAAGTTAAATTTTAAGTTTTTAATAGACCTAAAAGGATGAAAGTTTTTTTTAAAAGAAAAGGTATGTTATCCTTTCCTATAATTTTGTGGAAATTTTAGAACTTACACTGAGTTTGAAGTTAATCTAGACTGTGGGTTCTCAGCCTAAATTCCAGGGATGAGGGTCTATATATCTGTGTTTCAGGGAATTCCTCCACTTCTGGAAAGTTGAAGACATACAGTGTGTAGAGGCTCATTTTTTAATAGTGAAGACATTGTGATTCCAACAGAAGTTGATTTGAACCCAGTACATTTAAGAGGCATTGATTTTGCCTTCAGCTCCTTATTTTAGTGATGAGGATACTGAGGTCCAGAAATGGCTGAGGGAGTTGCTGGGGACCACAGTTCATTAGTAACTGAACCAGAAATAGAGCTCACATCTGCTGTGAGGCCATCAATCCAACTTCCTCCTCCTCTGCATGCAATAGATAGATTATATTAGTCTTAAAATGGGATCTGGTGCTCTTTTTTTCTTCCAAAAAAAGTACTGAAGTTATGAAATGAGACCTAAGAGGAAATGTCATAAAGTCATGCAGTGAAGAACAAAAATTAACCCAAGCCCTAGATTCCAGCGGTGGATGTCTTCTTAGCAGAAAACAACAATTTGAGAACTAACTTTGCGATTACTGTTCAGTTTCCCAGTGTCCATTGGGAATTGTCTTTCTGATTCTCTTTTTACTGTTTTGCAGTTTTCTTTGGTTTGTCTTCCCTTGCATCTCATTGTAGGTGCTTTGAACCTAGGAATGCATTTTTTTTCTTTCCTTTTCTCTACATTCGTATTTCTCACTTTGTTTCACATAAAATTTGTGATCCTACTGTGTGCTGTTCTGTACGCCCTGAGAGTAACAAGACCTCTCAGGCATGGAATATATGAAGAGTTCCAGCAACCAGGGAGAATCTGCCTGTATGTAAAGCAAACAAGAATTGGTCCTGCTGCTGCATCTCACTGAGCTCAGAGAAAAGCACTCAGGGCCACAGGAGTATCGGAAAACACCACAACACCCCAGCAGAGCAAAGCACCAGGAAGGAAAAGTCAAGTGGTGTTTTTTCTCTCCTACTTTTCTGGGCAATAAAACTGCTCCTAGGGAACATGTTAGAGCAAAACTAAGCAGCATCTGATGGCAGAGACTTGCTTTCAACCACATTGTTTCTCTCTTTTTATCTTTTCCAGTTGGCTCATGTATTACCCACAGAAGAGAATTTTCTGCTGCTCTTCCGATGCCAGCAACTGAAGTCCTGTGAGGAATTCATGAAGGTAGAAGAAAGCTGTCTCTTTAGGCAATGCTGCAGAAATCAGAATTGCTGGCTTATTTTTAATTTGGTTTTTCTTATCCAAAATTTTTTACAGACATGGAGAAAATATGATACTGATCACAGTGGCTTCATAGAAACTGAAGAGCTTAAGGTAAGCAAATAAAAACTTACATTAAGTTTTTTCCTTTCCAATGCAATTATGAACTGCCAAGGGCTTCAGAGATTTTTTTAAAAACTTTCCACAAAAGAAACTAGTGTGGAGCAATGGCACATTTCACCCACTCTTCCATATCATTAATGAAATACTAGATCGAGAAAGAGACTTCAAGTTCTTTCTTGCAAATCTGTTCAGCAACATGAGAAATTAGCATTTTTGTGGTGTACATAAATTATTAAAAGCAGGTAGATGACAGAACTATACACAAGCTAAGTAAGTCACACTTTTCCACTGAAATTTGAAATTTGTTGTTATAAATTAAACACGTATGTAATAGACTTCATTTCCAAAAGAAAAACAAATTATGGGATTGTATGCCAGATACTTCACATACATTACCTTATTTAACCTTTGCATGAGTTCAATAAAATTAGTATTACATGATGACAAAAAGATAGAGAGGAGTTAAATGTTCCACCAAAGGCCACATAGAAATAAGACACAGGGTGCAATGTTTAAGCTCACACTTGTCCACCCCTAAAACCCATAAGGATGCCTTGCAACCCACAGCTTCTTGACACCAATAATATTTACAAAATCTAAAAATAATTAAATTTTTGATAAACTGTAACTTTGAAAATGACTTTATAAATTCATATCTCACATGGGTACTTCGGCAGTGGTGTGGGAGTGAGACATAAAGACAAACAGATCCAAAATTAAAGTTACCTTGGGGCAAATGTCTACATCAGTCTATCTAATGTTTTCCATCTTGAAAATGAGAGTGATGATACCTTCTTCTCCGATGTATTGGCAAACTGAAGTGAGATATATATATATGATATATTATATATCATATAATGCATGAATTCAGTTTACTAGCCTTTCAGAAATGTGTCTTTCCTCTCATTTCCTCAAATCTCAGTCTGAAATACACAATTTGCTCTTATAATTAAGTGAAAGGGAAGCAGCTATTATTTATTGAGGACCTGAATATGTACCTACTATATAGCAGACACACTACTATGTGCTTAAATTTTATTTTAACATTTAATCATCACAGAAAACTTGTAAGACAGTTATTATCACTTCCAATACATAAAAAGATTCAAGTTCAGAGGAACTGGATAATTTTTCAAAATTACACAGGTGCTTGGGAAAAGCACCTAAGTTTGGGCCCAGCATATCTAATAATGTTAATACTTTCTCCTACAGCCCACATACCTTCAAGCTTTGTTCATTGAGAGCTGCTTCTGCTGCTGAATATGAGTATCAAACTGTTTTCCTAATTGTGGCTCAACATGGTTTCAGGAATTCACATTTTTATAAATGGAACTGGGACATTTGTACAATTGCAAAATTGCTGAACTATATTCAACTGCAGCCTCTAGAAAATGTAAACATTTTTAGTGTGAAGTTACTGGCAACCATGTCTTTTACACACTTGCAGTTTGCAACTACAGCCTGTGAGGTGACAGTGGAGCTACTGTGTTTTTATTCTTTTAGGCCAAAAAATTCTTTTAAAATCCTCTCAGTTCAGAAAGAAACCCTTAGTTCATTTCCAAGACTGACCTCAAAACATTCTAAAAGTCTCCTTCTTTGTTCTAAATTTTATTCTCAGAAAGAGATTCTAAATAGAAGTCCTCCTCCCTGGGGAATTTTTGAAGATAACTTGGCATTCTTTTTTAATAGATCTTTCAAGAAAGCTAATTTTAAGATCCATAATAGAGTACAACATCTTTTGCTCTCAGACATGACTTTGAATCTTGGTGTCCCAAGGTTTCTCCTAGGCTATTTTTATGACCACCATTTTAGTCTCTGATGAGACTTTTTAACCCAATTAATCTCTGACAAAAGCCTTTGAAGTCTCAAAACTAAAATTCACCCCCACCACATAACTTTGAATTCTCCATACTTCAGTTTCAATTTGAAGCAGTATGTTTGAAGTGAAAATAAATTTATCAAATCAAGGAAATGGTCTCTTTCCTTGAGAAAAGTAAAATCAAATCAGTCCAGCAGAATTGGTACTTTTGGGAAGGAGATAAACCACTACCGAACCAAAGAAATCCAATGCTTCAATAACTGTGCAGTTTCCTTAAGTGCATTAATTCATTTTCTGAGAAAATAAAGTTGTGAATGAATAGCACTGGACAAAATGATAGACTTATGCTAAATACCCTGTCATTTATATGGCAAGCTTTGAAAAGCTTTCATTTCTCTGTTAAAAAAAAAAAAAGATAACTCGCTCCTTAGCTCCAACTGTCAAGTTAATAATCATCTTTTTTCACCCTTCCCACATTAATCTCTATTTCCAGTGTTATTCATATATCCTTCAAGGATTAGATGTGATCATCTATAGCCAACTGTTTGAATTTGTACAGTCAACTGAAGCATTTAACTAAGGATTCTTTGGATTGTGTCACAACTAGAAGCTAACCAACTGGCCCTCTGGAGAAACAGGCTTCATATTGTCTGTAAAATGATGTGTAAATACAGCACAGAAGAGCAGAAAAATGTAAAATTAGTTAGAGTTCCATCACACAATGCAGAGGTTTAGAGAAAGGCCCTTATATTTCTTACCGAAAAGTCACATGACTACTTGTGAAAACAGCTTTTGGTAGAAAAGCATCCATTGAATTGGCTGATTTTTACAGTTCGAATTCAGATTCCTACACAGCGTAAGATCCAGATCCTTCTTTAATTGAAATTGTAAAAGCATAAGATAGCTTGGACTACTACAGACTGTGTCTCAGTAAAAAGCAGATATTACATATGTCAAAAGAAGATGTAATACTGGAAAATCACAAGAACAACATGTTTTAGTCTTGTCCTTAAGGGCCTCTGTGGAAAGGACCTAGTCCTACCCTCCAAAAGAGGCTTTCTGTGCATTTCTGGTATGTTATGTTTCAAGGCGTCTGAAATGGAGGCAGACTGTCCATCTTGCTGAAATTTATCTGAGTGTTCTTTGTCTTAACAGAACTTTCTGAAGGACCTGCTAGAAAAAGCAAACAAGACTGTTGATGACACAAAGCTAGCCGAGTATACAGACCTAATGGTAAGACTGATCTTGAAAAGACTATGGCCAAGAGCTCATGAGATAGAACTATTTTCTTGCCAATTCTCAAGGCTACACAGGGTGAACTAAACCATGTGGGCACATAGCTATCATTTCACTTGAAAACTGAAATACTCAAGAATGCTCACACATCAGGCATTGGCTTTAAGGTTCAATTGATGAGCATTTCCTTTCCTGCAAAGCTACGTGATTTTTACCTCTCAAAAGATGACTTGTTTTCTTGTACAGCCCATGTATCTTAATTATATTATTAAGTTATATGCCTTATGACTATATATTACATAACATATGTAAATTATGTTATATCACCTCAAACTCATATAGAAGTTCTAAGTTCATTTTTATCACAGCTTAGTTTATCATAGACTTTTTTAGAGCTTAAAGAGAACTTCTAGCTACTTTAGTCATTAAAGCCACTTAAAATGGTTCTCTTTTCTTTTCAGTTTTTATTACTGTGGGGTATTATATTGGTGCTATGGGTGAGGAAATCCAAACGTACCCTGACCCTGATACTTTGGTAAATAGTGTATCCAAGCTCTATCATAGAATACAGATTATAGAGTCAGGAAAATGCCTTTACACACAGGCTCCTACTGTTTTACAAACAAATGAGCAAATAAATTAATGAGGTCCTAGACAAAATAAACCATTGTCCTTGAAGTTACTTTGTTCTGAATGGGTGAAGTTTGCTCATTTTAACTCCAGTAGATGCATAGACTTATATATGATCTAACTAACATTAAGGTACTGTGAATTCTTACCCATGATTCAAATGAATAACCCGTACAATATAGCTATATGTTATAAAAGCTGCTATGCTTCAGTAGATTGCTGAGGAAGTTAGACTTTTGGTTATCTTGAGAAACAATCTTTACAGAGTTCAATTATATTTAATGTAGCTGACCTTTACTTTCAGCCTCTTGGCCTACTTTGTTTGGAAAAACAAAAACAAAGCTCTAGAGTTTATTATTGGCTTATTCACCAAACAGTGATGTTTATTATAAAATGGGACTAATCATATTTTTAAAACAACCAAAAAGGTTTTTCATGTTATTCTTTAATTCCTTATTACATTTCCACTCACAATAGCATCAGCAAATAAATGGGAGACTTTCTTGCTATGTGTCATGATGGGCAGGTCTAAGTTCTGAAACATTCTTGTTTGCTTGGTTGCTTTTATGAGGGGGCAAATCGACAATAATCTACATTCATCAGTTTTCTATTCTGTTTTGATCTTGAGGGATGTCTATGAAGCAGCCTTTCAAAAACTACAGATGGGAGTTTCCCCTTGTTGAATTGGCCTGGCATATCTGATTAAATGCCATAAACCAGTTCAAATACAGGAAGCAAATTAATCAAGAACTAATTAAAATTTAAATATATAAGTGAGGAAATATTTCCCTATGGGCACTAAACTGTGATCTAGTTGTTCAGTGTCTTAGCAGACAATGTCATAATATTAGAATATATGATCAATGGATTTTAAAAAGCTGTTTCAGTATAGGATCCTGAAAAATCTGCTTCCTACAAAGAATTCTCAGAACAGCTAAGGCCACAGAGTGGCCTTCCTTTCCTACTTAGGAAGACCTCATTAAACCTATATTCAGTCTAACTTCAGCATATTCCTTTCCTTTAAGACAAAAATAATGCTACTTTTTTACATTTTTAGTATACATATTTCATATATTTTAATGTGTTTCATATATACTGCTTCTGTATCATTTAGCAATAGTTGCTTTTTAAAAGTATGACTGCTTCACAAATACGGGTACAAACATGTTTATAGTTGACACGTCTCAGTGTATGAGACATAACTACAGTGGAGAGCTAGGAGCTTTACTGAGTATCTAGCTCCTAATGGGAGATAAAACAATACAAAATTACTCAGAAATTCTATTCTCTAAGGACTTATTCATGTTATCTGTCTAGTGCTTTTGTTTGCACTGCTTTGTGCTCTAAAGAGGTAAATATTTATCTTCATGCCATCGTCTGGAGAAGTTCAGGAGTGTCATATCCTGGAGTCACCATCCCTCCCACATGTTGATACACATTCAAAATATTTGCAAGAAAAACGAGTTAAGGTATTCTAGAAGCCTTAGTTAAGGCCACTATTACTCTGCTTCAATGTTCCATATGGTCTGATGAACTTTGACAATCGGTACGTTACAAAATTGAAAGTATGCTTTGAAAGTTTTAAAACATGTCAGTTTCTAAAATTTCACTATATATATAAATACTTGATAACTTAAGTTGCTTGATAATTGAATGTTTTTCTTCGTTCATTAAATCATTCTGCAATAGCTAATATTTTGTTTTTGTTCTTGGAAACAAAAAAACAAAATTTTATCTTTTAGCTGAAACTGTTTGACTCAAACAATGATGGGAAGCTGGAACTGACTGAGATGGCCAGGTGAGTTAGGAACTTGCTAATATTATTAGAGTAAGCTGGTCCTCATTCAAAAACCAAATCTACTAACATATTTTTCTGTTCAAAGGTTACTACCAGTGCAAGAGAATTTTCTTCTTAAATTTCAGGTACTTGACTTTTCCTCCACTTTAAATATTTTCTTTGAAAACTCAGACTGTGGGACATTTGTGTAGAAAAATAAACTAAAGTGTACTAGTAGCATTTTAACTTTTGCTCTTTTCTTTGTCTCTTAGGGAATTAAAATGTGTGGGAAAGAATTCAATAAGGCTTTTGAGTTATATGATCAGGTAAAAGTTTGTTCTTTTTTCTTCTTTTATTTTTGTTATGGTAAAAGCACTTAGCATAAGATCTACCCTCTGAATTTTAAAGTGTAAGATACAATATTGTTCATTAGACAAACAATGTTGCACAGCAGATCGTTAAAACTTATTTATCTCTCATAATTGAAAAGTTATGCCCTTTTATTAGGAACTCAAACCCTTACAACAACCAATCTATTCTGTTTTGATGAGTTTGACTAATATGAATACATCATATAACTGGCATCATGCCTATTTACCCTTCAGTGACTGACTCATTTCATTTCGCAGAATGTTCTCAAGGTTCATTTATTTTGCCATATATGTCAACATTTCTTTCTTTTTTAGGGCTAAATAATATTCTATTATACACACATAGATAGATAGATAGGTAGATAGATAGTTGATAGATAATGAGCATTTAGGTGATTTCCACATCTTAGCTGTTGTGAATAACACAGCAATGATCATGTAGTGGTAATATCTCCTTGAGATCTTGATCTTTTGGATAAATACCCAGGACTTGGATTGCTGAATCATGACAGTTCTATTCTTAACTTTTTGACGTACCTTCATATTGTTTTCCATGGTAGATGCTTCATTTCGCATTCTCACTTATTGTACAAGGGTTCCTATATCTTCACATTCTCACTAGAACTGGTTTTCTTTTGCTTGCCATTCAAACAGGTACATGGTGGTGTCTCGTTGTGGTTTCAACTTACATTTCATTCGTTATCAGTGACATTAAGCATCTTTTCATGTAGTGGCTGACCATTTTTTTTGTTGTTGTTAAATTCTTTTATTGGTACA